CGTTTCTAACTGAATTGGAGCTGATACAATACAAATATATTAAAAAGGCAAAAAATCTTTGAATTCAAGAGTAAAGAAAATAAAATTCTTTTTATTTTTTTGAACAAAAATAAAATCTTTTTTAGATAATTTCTCTCGAAATATACAAAACTAGAGGCGGATTCAGAAATATTTTTCAATTGAGGCATAAATAATATATTAGAGATTAATATAAAATATTCTTATATATATATATATTAATCTTACTATCAAATCTATAGTGTTTAGCTTTTTCATGAATATTAAATAATGGAAAATTTCATATATATTTTTTATAAAATACAACTCATATTCTATTTTTTAAGAGATTAGAGATACATTATAGAAGAAGCAATAAAATAGTAATTAATAAAGTAAAATAATATGAAAATTACATAAGAGATCTGTATGCATGTTTCAAGTAGTGGAAGTGGAAAAAGACAACAAAATGCAATCTTATAATTTTGGAGAATGTTGAAAAAAATAAAGCAAAGAAGTAAGAAAAAGATATTAAAAAAGTGGGGGCAATGCTTTTTTCATATTGAACGTAATAATGATAATAATGGAAAGAGTTGAAAATTTTTTCTTTTTTCTAAAAATTTTCTTTACCATTGAATATTACTTAATTTACTCTGTAATTAATTCACACAATATAATTAAGTAAATCACCGAGTGCATGCACCAATGGATACGTCAGTACTTACCTAAAAGTAAGGAATTAAGGATATGTTATTTAATTAAATCAAAAACAAAACAAAGTCTTAATCTTCAAAATAAATTAAACAGAAGAAATCAAGGTGTATCTGGCAAAAGAATTGGTGACAGTTGGAAGTGATTGATCCGATCGAGCAGAGAGAGAGAGTGCATATTAACAAGAATGTTGTTAAGCTTAGTGATGGAGGTGGAGATGTCAAACAATTTACAAAGAAGAAAACGTTGAGGCTATAAAGGCAACTCCAAAGGCAACTTCAAATTTGAGGTTGGCCAAACCTCAAATTTGAAGTTTGATGGTGTTTGTCTCCAAGGGCAAAACCTCAAATCTAATGTTATAAATTTTAAAATATTACACTATAGTCTTTATTTTTAATCATTATTAATAAAAATCATATAACTTATAAATTACCAAAAACATATATAAAAAATATCACAAATTACAGAAACATTACATTATAAGATAAAATTACAGAAACATAATAATTAAAACACACAATTAAATTATAAATGATTATATTTCACCAAATTATTCAACAAAACTATTTTCATAATGCTCTCAAATATGATCAATTTTTAGTTTTTGGTTACAATTTTTAATTTTATTTTATATAAAAATATAAAATTTATAAAGATAAATGTGAATTATTCATGAGATATAAAATTGTTTGGATTAAAATTATAAACATAAAAAATAAAGTAATTATTTATGTAGTATATAATTGTAAGGACTAAAATGCAAATAAAAAGCTGCAATCTCAAATTTGAGGTTTTGAACAGTGAAACCTTCAAAACCTCAAAATTTGAGGTTTTAAGGTTGTCTTTGGAATGAACAAAACCTCAAAATTCATGTTCCTACAGTGACAACAACAAAACCAAATATAGAAAACTTTATTCATGTTCCTAATAAAGGTAATATTTTTATCTGAGTAGGGAATGAAATCATTTGGACCATATTTTACTAGTATAATTTTCTCTTTTTATGATAATTGCCAATCTCTTGGACAATATATATATATATATATATATATATATATAAGATTTTTCATTAAAAATTCCCTAGAAATTTTATCAGCAGCTAAAATAATTATCAAATTTTATAAATATAAATAGTTAATTATCCAAAAACACTTGTTCGAAGAGTTTGTTGAAAAAAAATATACATATTGTCCTGGCAATTATCATAAAAGAAAAATTTCTACTAATAAAACATGGTCTTGATAAAACACAAATAATTTCATTCCCCAGTCAGATAAAAATATTACTTCTATTAAAGTCTTGATGTTTTCTTCTTTTTAAATTTTTTGACATCTCCACCTCCATCACTAAGCTTGATTTCCTCAGTCTTTCTATAGAAGCTGAAGCAAAAACAATAATTTTCAATGAAAATGATCTCACCATAGCAATTGTTGAAGTTATATATTCCTTGTTTATTTAAAGTGAATCTATAGTCATTGATAAGGTTGCATTGGTTTTTGGAAATTGATTAGGTAAAAATAAAAACACATGACACATAGACATTATTAAGTTAGGTTTGCACCCACAAACCCCGTTTTGTAGACTCAAAAATTTAGCTTGGAAGCTAATCTGAGTATCGGGAAGCTCAGGTAACTTAACTTTTCTAATATTCTTTCTTCTTCTTATGGGTTTCTTGGCTCTCTTTTTAGGGATGTTTTCCACACAATCTTTTCCTTTAATCTTGTTAGAGTCACAAGATTGAGGTCCTCTGAGTTGCTTATGATGACTAGAAAAAACAATATTTTTTCTTTCATCATCCTTAGACATAGAAATGCGTCGAACGACGGTTTTATCCACTCTTGGCGTTTCAACAGGGGTTGACCGTTTGCGTCTACTTTGATTAGTTCGTCGCTTTCGTTTTTGGGATATTGAGGCGGCTTTAACCTGTTTATAAATTCATGTCTTAACCAATATAGGAAGTACCATACAAAACCATCTTCAACAAGAAAGTTTAGAAACTAGAAACAAAGTTAATAATTTGAAATGGGCCATAACTAACTTGTTCGTTAGGAATCTGTTCTGTTTCATTAAGCTCTAACTCCTGCCACAACATTAAAAAAAAAGAGATTTGATGAATGATGGAAAAAAACACTAAAATAGCATTATCATCAATTACATAATATATATATATATATATATGAAGTTTATCTCATTTTCGTACTGGTTATTGTCCGCATACAACTTTGAAATGATTTCATCAAAATATTCATTAGCTTTGAATGAGGGACGACGAAGAAAATGGACAGGACAAGAAGGACATTTATGGTTTCTTCAAAATTAGAAGAGAGAGTCAATATTTTGAGCAACAAAAGGTTCTGAAACTTATAACGCAAACTAAGAAAAATTAGCATGGAAGTTTTTAAGAGATATATACCCAAGACGCAAGTTATTTTCAATGCACTCTTTGCAGAAACCGTGCCCGCATTGTGTAACAGTAGTCTTGCGAATGATATCTGGAAAAGCACAAAGTTTGGCATAAACACAATTCATTGTAAAAAGTTCCTTTATTGATAGAATGGCCTCAAAAGGTCATCACTTACAAGACTATAAATCACCAAACATATATGAATGATTATATTGAAAGCTATAATTAAGAGGAACAAGAGGTGATACAACTAATTTTGGCTGACACAAATGCTCCACAAGTAACATATGTACAGGATTACATGAACTAGGTTTTGTGTTGCTTGACTCCTTATACAGAGATAAATTAAACAATTTCCACGACGTTTAGAAAAAAATTAAACAATTTCCACAAATATTTAATGACTGGTAACAAAATATTTGTCGCTTGATATCAGCTAAATGAATATTTTTTTAGAATACTAAGTAATTAGGTGATTTTAAACCTCTCTGTTTTCTAATTCTCTAAAAAGTTACAAGTATTTTAAAAAAGTTTTTTGTTGAACATAATTTTATATTACAAAAATAGGTCCTTTTAACAAAAAAAAATAAACCGTTTTAACATTAAAAAAAAACTTATTTAGATATGTATGCCTTCAAATAAGATACCACATGAATGAATTAAATCTTTTTTTTTGAAATGAATTAAATCTTATATGCAACACATAGCTGAGAACAAAATTTCTTAAGATACCAAAACAGATTCGACATTCCACTTGCTTGCGAGCTTGGGGCTTATCCACCACGGTAATTAATCTGCAATTAGAAAAAATATGAGTAAATGTTATAACAATAAAAAAGCAATAGAGTGCAATCACATGTATCAAATTAATCAATGCAAAGCTACTAATGCAAATATATCAAACCATAGAAACAAGGCGTTAAAGTCAGAACTAACACTATATAAGTATATATATGTTAAAGAAGAGAGGATAATTATCCTCATCAAATATCACCGCCATTGACCGACTTACCATGTCGGTAACTTCTCTTATTATATTCATAATGTTTGCTATAAATATGTTGTTACCTCCCCTTGTAAACTAGAAGTTACACGAGTGAAATAAGAAGAACATCTCTTCTCTTCTCTCTCTACTCCTTCGCTCATCATCTTCTTCTTACCCCCACCACACAAAACAATACACATATATATACTCACCTATATAATATCATATAATACATAAAACGTTATCAGCACGAGCCGTTCTTATACCGTTCCTATACCGAAAAGGTGAGGTTTAATTTATGTTTAATCCGTCTACTTTTATGTTTATATTCTATGGTCGGGATGATAGGCGCTGCCTTCTCCGAACCGATCGTTATGGAGGCTATGCCTTTACGATCATGATCATATGGTAGACTATGTCTCCTCAGATCAAATATATGGTTGGTTTATGATCATATGGTAGTTGACTCCTCAGATCATTACCTCCATATAATAAATGTCCAAAAGACATTTAAGAAAAGTTCCTAAAGAACTAAGAATAACATACTATATGTCCAGAAGACATACTTGAAAGAAAAATATGTCCAGAAGACATATGAAAAAGAATAGTTCCAGAAGAACTATATAAAAAATATATATATCCAGAAGATATATAAAAGCGTTCCTGAAGAACTGCATAATTAATTTCGTCCAGAAGACGAATATTTATTTTAATTATTGTTCTTTAAATTTTGTTAATTACTGTTATTTAATTTCTATTTATTATTACTTTAAATTCAGTATTTTAAATTCAGTTTTTATTACGTTTATGAATTCTAAAATTTTATCATGTTTTATTAAAATCAGAATTTTTGAAACTGAATTATGACCAAATTTATAAATTGTTGTATTGATAACAGTTATCATGTCGAATTTGACAAAACTCGAGATTACTGCCCTTGATATTTCTGGAAGAAATTATATGAGATGGGCAGTAGCTGCAAGGATGCATTTAAAAGGAAATGAGCTCCTTGATACCATCGATAAAACAAAAACAACTCCTGAAGAGAAAAAGGCGAAAGCCATGATCTTTTTATTCCACCATATCCATGATGGTTTAAAAGATGAATATATCACGAAAGAAGATCCTGCAGATCTTTGGCAATCACTCCAAGATAGGTTTGATCACCAGATATATGTGATCTTACCAAAGGCTAGACATGAGTGGTTGAACCTCCGGTTCCAGGACTATAAGAGCGTTAGTGAGTATAACTCCGCTCTATTTGGAATCACTTCCAGGATAATGTTATGTGGAGAAAATATAAGTGATCATGATATGATTGAGAAAACTCTCTCAACATTTCATCCTGGAAACGTAGTCCTGCAACAACAATACCGGGCAAACGGATACAAGAAGTATTCGGAGTTAATGCAAGTTCTCTTGGTGGCAGAACAAAATAATGAACTCGTGATTTTAAACCATCAATCTCGTCCAACTGGATCAGCTTCATTCCCAGAAGTGAATGTTGCATCGTCAAGCCATGAAAATTGGCAAAGTGGACGTGGACGCGGTCGCGGAAATGATCGTGGTCGTGGATGAGGTTTTGGACGTGGTCGAGGTCGTGGACGAGGAAGAAGATTCCGTCCTGCTGATTTAAACGATGGAAGAAATAACAAAAAGTTCAAGGGTAATGAAGTTGGTCGCAAGCAACATGAGAGTGCTTGCTACAGATGCGGCATTAAAGGACATTGGGTTCGTACCTGTCGTACGCCAAAACATTTAGCCGATCTGTACCAAAAATCGCAAAAGGCGAAAGGAAAAGAAAGTGAAACCAACTTCATTCATGGTGAATCTAGTTTTTCTTTTGATGGTATAAACGATGATACAAATCTCGATATATCTGATTTCATCGTTGATCCCGAAGATATCAACGAAAAACAAAACGAGTAAAATCTTCTCGAAGAAAAAGATGTGACATGATGTATACATAGTGTGAAAAATAAAAATATAAAATATAATGTTTAAAAATGTATCTTTTGTTGTAAAAAAGTTTTTATTATAATATAAACTCTTTTGTTTTGCTATATTAATTTATCTTTTATGAATATCTTGAATTCAGAAAATGTCAAAGATTAAGATCGAGGATGGAGATATATGTCTGGCAGACAGTGCGACAACGCACACAATATTAAAAGATAAAAAGTATTTCTCCTCTCTTAATATGAAAGATTCCGCTGGAAGCGTGAATACAATATCTGGTAATGCAAAAATTATTATGGGCTCCGGAAGAGTCAGTTTTTCAATGCCAAGGGGAACAAAGTTTGAAATAAATGATGCGTTATATTCCCCTGGATCTTACAGAAATTTGTTAAGTTTCAAAGATATCCGCAGAAATGGATATCACATAGAAACTATGAATAAGAACGGCATTGAATATCTTTGCATTACTTCAGTTATTTCGGAGAGAAAAGTTGTACTGGAAATATTACCAGCATTATCCTCCGGAATATATTCCACAAAGATAAATATGACTGAATCATATGTTACTGTAAACCCAAAGTTTACAAGTACATTTAAAATCTGGCATGAACGATTAGGGCATCCTGGTTCAGTCATGATGCGGAGAATTGTGGAAAATTCTAATGGCCATCCGTTGAAAAACCAGAAGATTTTTCAACCGGGAGAATTTATGTGTAATGCTTGTTCTCAAGGAAAACTAATAACTCGGCCATCACCAGCTAAAATCGGGAATGAATCTCCAGTATTCCTAGAGAGAATACATGGTGATATATGTGGGCCTATTCACCCACAATGCGGGCCATTTCGATATTTTATGGTATTAATTGACGCATCCAGTAGATGGTCACATGTGTGTTTATTGACAACACGTAATACGGCTTTCGCAAAATTCATTGCCCAAATAATCAGGTTGAGAGCACAGTTCCCTGATTATATGATAAAGAAAGTGAGGCTTGATAACGCTGGTGAATTCACTTCCCAAGCTTTTAATGATTAATGCCTGTCATTGGGAATTGATGTTGAACATCCTGTTGCACATGTTCACACACAAAACGGCATGGCTGAGTCATTGATTAAACGGTTACAACTCATTGCTAGACCGTTAATATTGAGAACAAAGCTCCCAATTTCAGTATGGGGTCATGCTATCTTGCATGCAGCGGCATTGCTTCAAATAAGACCGAGTTCTTATAATAAATATTCCCCAATACAATTAGCATCTAGCCAGGAGCCAAATGTATCCCACCTGCGTGTGTTCGGGTGTGCGGTTTATGTTCCGATAGCCCCGCCACAAAGATTAAAAATGGGGCCGCAAAGAAGATTGGGAATATATATCGGTTATACGTCACCGAGTATAATTAGGTATCTTGAACCGCAAACTGGTGATATGTTTACGGCACGTTTTGCCGATTGCCATTTTAATGAAGATGAATTTCCAGCGTTAGGGGGAGGAATTAAAGAAGTTCCAAAAGATGTTACATGGTGCACACCATCTTTGTTGCACCTTGATCCCCCTACGAAACAACGTGAACTCGAAGTTCAGAAAATTGTTCATTTACAAAATATGGCAAATGAAATACCAGATGCGTTCACAGATACGAAAAGGGTGACAAAGTCATACATACCCGCGGCAAATGTTCCATCGAGAATTAATGTTCCGGAAGAACAAAATGATGGAAAAATAGCGAATGAACCCAAAGTTCAGTTGAAGAGGGGGAGGCCGATTGGCTCAAAAGATAAAAATCCCCGAAAGAAAAAGAAATTGGGAAAACAAAATGAAAATGGTCCAGAAGAGCCACATACAGAGAAAGGTCTTGAAGACGAAAATGACGAAGAAAATCATGAGATTTCCATCAATTATGCCCAAGATGGGATATTATGGGCTAGAAATGAAATAGAAGATAATGATGGAATATTCTCGTTCTCTGTATGTAAAGAAATTGAATATGAAATTGATGATCCAGATCCAAGGTCCATATTAGAATGCCAGAAAAGATCTGATTGGGAGAAATGGAAAATGGCCATAGAAACTGAATTGATCTCCCTTAATAAAAGGAAAGTTTTTGGACCGATTGTTACAACACCTAAAGATATACAGCCGGTTGGGTACAAATGGGTTTTTGTGAGAAAAAGAAATGAGAAAAATGAGGTGACAAGATATAAATCCCGACTTGTCGCCCAAGGATTTTCTCAAAGACCGGGAATTGATTATGAAGAAACTTATTCTCCGGTTATGGATGCAATTACATTCAGATTCTTAATGAGTCTTGCGGCATCCAAAAATCTTGAAATGTATCTTATGGATGTTGTGACAGCATATTTATATGGATCACTTGATAATGATATCTATATGAAAATCCCAGAAGGATTGAAAATGCCTGAAGCATTAAGTTCCAAATCGAAAGAAATATGTTCGGTCAAATTACAGCGATCACTTTACGGATTAAAACAATCCGGACGCATGTGGTATAATCGCTTAAGCGAATATTTACTAAAGAAAGGGTATGTGAATAATGCAATCTGCCCTTGCGTTTTTATTAAGAAATCTTCGTCAGGATTCGTGATCATTGCTGTTTATGTGGATGACCTGAACATTATTGGAACTCAAAAAGAGATTGATGATGCAAGAACTCATATGAAAGAAGAGTTCGAAATGAAAGATCTCGGAAAGACAAAATTTTGTCTTGGATTACAAATAGAGCATTTCCGAGATGGAGTATTCGTACATCAATCAAATTATACTAAAAGGATATTAAAACGTTTTTGTATGGATAAAGCGACTCCTTTGAGTACTCCAATGGTTAATCGATCTCTCGATACGGAAAAAGATCCGTTTCGACCTTGTGAAGATAACGAAGAAATATTAGGTCCTGAAGTACCTTATAGGAGCGCTATTGGTGGACTTATGTATCTTGCAAATTGTACCCGACCGGATATAGCATTTGCTACAAATTTACTGGCAAGATATAGTTCGTCTCCTACGCGCAGACATTGGAATGGAATAAAACATATACTCCGTTATCTTCAAGGAACAATTGACTTGGGATTGTTTTATCCTAGAAACTCCAAACTTGGTTTAGTCGGTTTTGCAGATACAGGTTATTTATCAGATCCTCATAAAGCTAGATCGCAAACTGGATATGTTTTTACGTTTGGAGGAACTGCAATCTCTTGGCGTTCTCAAAAGCAGACATTAGTCGCCACTTCTTCAAATTATGCAGAAACTATTGCGCTTCATGAAGCATGTAGAGAATGTGTATGGCTCAGATCTATGACTCATCATATACAAGAAGCAAGTGGAATAGCCATTAACAAAGAACCGACAAGATTGTTCGAAGATAATGCTGCATGTGTTGCTCAACTAAAAGAAGGCTATATCAAGAGTGATAGAACGAAACATATTCCTCCAAGATTTTTCTCTTATACTCAAGAGCTCGAGAAGAATCAAGAAGTCGATATCCAGTATGTTCGTTCATGTGAAAATGCGGCGGACCTCTTTACAAAGGCGCTTCCTACTACAGTATTCAGAAAGCATATTCAAAGTATCGGAATGCGTCATTTGCGGGATTTATGAAGGAACGTTATATCCATCATTCCAGGGGGAGATTACGTTATTGTACTCTTTTTTCCTTATCATGGTTTTTATCCCATTGGGTTTTTCCATGATAAGGTTTTTAACGAGGCAGTACGTAATACATTAACAGTAATGGATAATTAAGGGGGAGTGTTAAAGAAGAGAGGATAATTATCCTCATCAAATATCACCGCCATTGACCGACTTACCATGTCGGTAACTTCTCTTATTATATTCATAATGTTTGCTATAAATATGTTGTTACCTCCCCTTGTAAACTAGAAGTTACACGAGTGAAATAAGAATAACATCTCTTCTCTTCTCTCTCTACTCCTTCGCTCATCGTCTTCTTCTTACCCCCACCACACAAAACAATACACATATATATACTCACCTATATAATATCATATAATACATAAAAATATATACTTTTTCTTTTATATATATATATATATACTTTTTCTTATCTCCGTAATGATTTTACTTCAAACTATATCGATTTTAAATGAAACGCTGATGCTGTATTCTTCCTACTGTTTATGTACAGTTTTTCTAACACAAAAATTAACATGCAACCCTAGATATCTTGGACCAAGATGTGCTTCATTATTTGAAAAAAACAACAAATCCAACTTCAAAATATATCTTATTTGAAATATATTTGAAATAGGAACAACCAATAAGCCGCTAATAAATAGAGTACAAGAGTTTAAAAAATATATATATCAATAAATACTCTCTTAGTTTTACAGAGTTTGGTTTCCTGGATATTTCACATAAATTAAAAAACAATAAATGTTTAGTTATAAATATATAATCTACTTTCACTAAATACCTTTTCAATAACTATAAACCAAAAATAAATCAAACAATTTCGGTTAATGTCTTTTACTCCCTCCCTTCTTAATTATATGATGTTTAAAGTTTTTATACACAAAATAAAAATAATAGATTTTAGTTTTTTTCTTTACTAAAACCTCATTTATTATTAATTTTAAGCAATAAA